TGAGTGTCCAGGGTGAAAGACCTGAAAGCCGCGCAGATAGGTGTCGAGCCTTCCGGTTAATACCAGTAAAAATGACAGTTTGGTAGTGCTCGTAGAGCCTACTTGCAGACACCAGCCTAAGGATTACCAGTGTTGTATTTACCACCCCCTTTGTCTAAAATTGAAAGTTTTGAAATGTGTTGAGATTGCAAGCTTTATTGAGAAATGGAAATCTTGAGAAGAACATGGAAATTAATTATAAAAATGGTTGGTTTTCGAAAATGTTTTGGGTGCCCACATCCCGCCGTATAGAAGCCGGCAAATGTGGGGGATGGTTTTAAAAAGTTGAAAAATGGTTTTTGAAAGAAAATGGCTTTTATGAAAATGGTTTTGGGAGTTCACTTCCCGTCGTATAGTAGCCGGCGAAAGGTAGAAAGTGTTATGAATTAGGTGCCTGCTATCCCGTCGTAGTAAGTCGGCAAAAGGTGGATTGTGTTGAGCTATGTGTTGAGTAGTGTGTTGAGTTGGTGATGTTATTTGTTGCTTGTGATGAATTTGCGAAATTACATATTGATGTGGAATTTGGTTTAAAGAGGAAACGTGCATAGGCATTATTTGTAAATAATGGAAACCAAAAGTAGATATGAGGATTATAGTCTATGATGGTAAACTTAATGAAGTAGTTGTGTTAATAAAAGTAAATTGTGAGCCGTTGTTCTACAATTAAATAAAGGATTGGATTGAAAGGGGTTATTAATATTGTGTTATCTTGAAATGAAACTTTGCGTGTGTAATTAACGGTGTGAATCGAGCATAGGAGAATTGTTGGCGAGTCAAAAAGGAAACTGAACTTGAAGTTATGGGGTTTTAAATTAAAAATGAAGAGTAGAAAAGAAGAATGAAAGGAAAAGAGGAGTGTTAAAAATAGAAATTAAATAAGAAATATCTTGGGAATTGGTTAATAACTTTTAAATGATGTTGTTTTCTTAAATATGTTTGTTTCACAAGGATCTATGGTTTCCTAAAGTTAAGGGATGGTTTTAATGGCTTAAGGTTTTTCTTAGAGGTGTTCAAATAGTTGTTGGGAAAAGGTACTCTACTTATGATATTTTGAAATTATAAAACGGCACTCTACTATATGGTATCACCCTGCATGCATGATCATTTATATCTGTGTGCTAGTTATTGATTGAGAACTATGAGGTTCCTACTGGGCATTAGTGCTCACCCCGTTGTTGTTTTATCTTTTTACAGGAAGAAATTTTGGATTATTTGATTGAAGATTTATGGAGTTCTTGAGTCCATTTGTATAACATTATAGTAGATGTAAAGGAAATGGATTTTGGTATTTTTATTTATTTATTTGTAGCACAGGAGGAGATTGGCATGTATGGTTGTCATTGTAATATTCATTGAGAGAGAGAACATGTATTATTGTATTTCTATTACTCAAGTGTAATAGATATTTGTCTATGTATAAAAATAAAAATAAAAATGGACCTAAATTACAGGCTTTGGTAATGTTTTCGAGTAATAAAAATTCGGGACGTGACATATGGAGATAATTTCACCTTTCACACTAGAATAGTCTCCAAGTACATATAGTTTCTTACCAAATCCAGGTCCAATAGGGTTTACCATTTTATGGAATTTGAATTTGTGACGTAAGTTTCTTAAGTCACTTACCACAACTCAACTTTTCACTTGGCCAACCATTGAATTTGGAAATAAATGAGCAAAATTAAAATTAAATTGTTTTTAACTTCAAATCCCAACTCTTGGTTCTTCTATTTTTTTGATGTGGCACGTTGTCATTCAAAGAACTACAAAACCATTAGGTTATGTTCGATTGCCGGTTTGGGAAGGAAGGTGTGATGTCTCGAGTCTTGGACTTGATCGGTATTACGTAGTAAGATAGTTTGTTTTATTTTCGACGCTTTGATAATCATATTGGGTTGTTGAGATTTCTTTTCTTCTCCTACTTAACCTTTCTTAACATTCGTGGGTTAAATTTTTTGAATTTTGGACATTGGAACTTGTTTCGGAGTACAAAATCAATTTCTGAGTTTCTGGGCAAAACCGCTCGTGCAAATTTGGAAACTACTCAAGCGGATTCACATAGGGATTTCTAGATTTTCTGGACAGAAAACTGCATGTGTGGATTCTGTATTCCGCTCAAGCAGATTTTGTGAAAATTTCTGAGTTCTTCTCTAGAGCAAACCGCCCGTGGAGCATCAGAATTTTCCTCGTGCGGATTTGAGATTCCGTTCGTGTCAATGAGTCTGTTTCGCATTTTGAGCTATTTTCCTCAAAATTGATGCCAAAAACGTGTTGAGGCACTTTTTCACTTCTCTCTCTATGCTCATCTTTTCTCTTCCTTCTCTCAAAAAACACGCCCAAATCCAAACTTCTCTCTAAGATTAGCTCAAATCTTTAAGAATTTGAGAGAGCTTTTTACACCAAATCGAAGAGGGCGACGAACGCTATATTTACACCGATTGAATCGAGTTTTCATCAACGTTGAACTTTAGGGTTTTCATCTCCTTCCTCTTCCAAGTTTGAGGTAGGGATAATCTTTGAGTCGTATATATATTTTTGTAAGTCTATGATTGTTTGGAGTATTTCTTACATATTTAGATCATGATTTTGGGTTGATGAACCCTAGATGATACTAAAAGTGGATTTTCTCTATTTTTTTCCAAAGTTTTTGAAAGTATGGGCTAAACTGTGAGTGTTGTTTTAGAAAAATCTTTTCAAAGATGGAGCAAAAACCTAGTTTTTGTGGAAACCCTAGAATTTGGAAATTTTGAAAAAAAGTTGAGATGTTGTGAAATTTATGCTTGATGCATTGTTATGTGAGTAATTGATGAAAGAAATTTTGCATAGTTGTATCAAATGAGGAAATTCCATGAGAAGATGAGAATTGTTGATTTGGGAAGCTTGAGTAATAGCTTATTGTTGGTTTGTCTTGGAAAACCTAGTTTAGAATATGATTATTAATATGTGGAGAATACATGTATGTTGATATTGTTATATTATCTCCTGGAAATATATTATGGTGTTATGTTGATAAAAGATGTGAAAATTTTATCACAATGGAGGATTGTGTGGTAGAATTGAAAAATGGAACTACATTAATGCATCGTTACATTTTGCATTGCCATTCCATTTAATCGTTGTTACAATTGATTTTGAATCTTTCGTTGAAAAATTATTGCTTTGAGAAAGGTATTGTTTTGCGAAACAAAAACATCTTGAATTGTTTTGAGGTAAATACATTGATAAGTCCAGATAGGGGTTGCAGTTTAGTATTGGTTAAGTTGACAAAAGATGTGAAAATTTGATCACAATGGAGGATTGTGTGGTAGAATTGAAAAATGGAACTACATTAATGCATCGTTACATTTTGCATTGTCATTCCATTTAATCGTTGTTACAATTGATTTTGAATCTTTCGTTGAAAAATTATTGCTTTGAGAAAGGTATTGTTTTGCGAAACAAAAACATCTTGAATTGTTTTGAGGTAAATACATTGATAAGTCCAGATAGGGGTTGCAGTTTAGTATTGGTTAAGTTGGCCTAAGTGTCCATGATGAAAGACCGAAAATATGTGCGGAGGAGGTGTCACGTGCCTTCTGGTTAGCAACCGGTAAAGTGGTGATTGATAGTGCTTGATATGCCTATTAGCAGACACCAATCTATGGATTACTTGAGTCGTATTTACCACCTTTTGAACTAAATTGAAGTTATTAAATTGTTGTGTTTTCAAATTGCATTGAGTACAAGGTTTTTGAAAGATAGAGATATATGTTTTGAGTATGATATGACACATGCAATCATCTTAGGAGACTGTATAAAATGTATATACTTTGTTAAGATTTTTTCTTACTGGGTTTTGTGCTCAGCCTATGAAATTTTGTGTAGGAAAGGATATGGTGATCCTGCCGAGTTAAAGGCGTGGAATGTATTTTGAGAGCATAAGGTTCTTTTCCTTTTGTTGTAATTTTGTTGACAAGCCAAATGCTTTACTTGTATGGGTTTCAAAACCATTATTTTGTGTAACCAAGCATAAGTCTTGGAAATTGTAGCCCTTAAGGGCATTGAATTGTAAATGTCATATTATGTCACTTGTTATAGATTCATATTCTAGGAATATTGAATGTATAACCGCATGTTGAATATTTTTTGTAAATCTCTTGAGTTTTAATGAATACAAATGTTGGAGATTTGATGATGATGTTAATATTGAAGCTTTATTTTTTGTTTATATTAAACAATGGAAGTTATTGATTTGAAAATAAGATTATATAATTGAAAGTTGATGAGTCTATATTGTGTTATTTTTTTGGGACATTACAGAAGGATTAGATTAATAATTTATACACTCCATATAAATCATGTTTGATTGTGAAAACCCAAATGACAAAATTAGCATTCTCATAGAAAGGGTACCCTACACTATGAGATTGGAGATTGAAAGATTATTTTGTTACTGCTTAACAAAAGTAATAAAGTACTTTTATATAATGTGATTTTTTTAAAGTAAGTTTATGAATTTAATTTCAATTAACTAATATTATCATAGTAATCTATAAATAAATATAATTAACCTTACATCTTCCAACACAAAAGTAATTTTATTAGCTAATTAATCCTACGCGTACTCGCAGTTGACCTAACTCAGATATCAAACATGGCCTAATTTCGCACAAAATTGAGTGGATTTCAAATCAAGAATTTGAGATTAGATGAATAAAAGATACAATATCACAAGATTAGTTGAACTAAAAGATATATATATTTTAGTAAAAATTTTGTATATAGCATTATTTCAAACAACTAGTTTTCCATAGTTATTTCAAATCTATTAGGGTAAAGATATTTAACTCTGTTTTAAAATTCATAAGTAAATTATTATATTTAAATTTGAATTATTGTATTTGAATAATTAATGTCAAATTCCTTAATTTTTTGAAATTCAAATTTATCCATACGGACCCTAACTTTAATGGCAGACTAACCTGAATGAAGTGTAGGAGCTGTTGAATCAAGAATTGCTGGTAGCTCAAAACGGTGTAGCTTTGGCGGCGAACTGGTGGACCGAAATAATTGATGACGAAATCATTTGTACCGGCGCTAATGACGAACGCGGCGTTCTTGATCAGATTTTGGGTTCTTTTCTTTCCAATGCCAATCTCAAGCCTAGCTTTGTACTCCCTAAAGTATTCCATTTGCTTTGTCATTGAAAGTACACCCTGAAACACAAACAAACCCATCAAAAAATTATTATGTAATTAAGTTATGGGAAAATTACCATTCAGGGTAGATTTTGAAAGTTATTACACATCGGTGGAAACTTTATGATTTTAATTACAATAATGATTCATCCCCCCTTTTCCCCCACCCCCTTTGACCCCCTCTCTTTCTCATTGGTTACCTTTTCTTTTTCTTTTTCTTTTTTTTCCTACTCCTCCAATCACCACCGGCCACGTGGCAAAGGGGGGGTGAGGGGGTGACCCCCAAAAGTCCCAAGCATTATTCTTTTAATTATTAATATTTGGGAGCGGGGTCACTGCTATGCCCCCTCTCTGCTGTGTTTTGCTGTGCCGTGAAACGGCACAGTTTCATCCCCTTTTTTTTTTTTTTTTTTTTTTTTTCACAGTTTCATCTTCTTCTTTTTTTTTTTTTAATTTTTTTTTAATTTTAGAGTTTAGAGTTTAGGATTTAGGATTTAATTTTTAAAATTTATTTTTTTATTTTAGAGTTTAGGGATAAATTTGTTTTTTATTTTTTTTTTATTTTAGGGTATAGGGTTTAGGTTTAATTCTTAATTTTTTTTTTATTTCACGGTTTAGGGTTTAGGGTTTAATTCTTAAATTTTGTTTTTTATTTTATTTTAGGGTTTAGGGTTTATTTCTTAAATCTTAAAATTTATCGTTTTTTTTTCTCCTGCTTTGCTTTACTTTTCTGCTCTTTTTCAATTTTTGTTAAAAATAATAATAAAAGGGTGCCCTTTTTTTAGTAGTAACTTTAGGAAGAGTTAGGAGGATCACAATAGCACCCAGTATCTTTTAGAGTTTTTTTTTTTTTTAATTTTTTAAAATTGTTTTTTAGAGTTTAGAGTTTAGGATTTAGAGTTTAATTTCACTTTTTTTTTTTTTCATGTTCTCACTATGAATTAAATCTAAACCCCAAACCCTAAAATAAAATAAAAAATTAAAAAATTAAACCCTAAATCCTAAAATAAAAATAAATAAAATTTAAGAATTAAACCCTAAACCTTAAACCCTAAAATAAAATAAAAAACAAAATTTAAGAATTAAACCCTAAACCCTAAATCATAAAATAAAAAAAAATAAATTTTAAGAATTAAACCTAAACCCTAAACCCTAACATAAAAAAATTAAATTTTAAAAATTAAATCTTAAATCCTAAATCTTAAATCCTAAAACAAAAAAAAAATTAAGAATTAAATGCTAAACCTTAAACCCTAAAATAAAAAAATAATAAAAAAAATTTAAGAATTAAACCCTAAACCCTAAAATAAAAAAATAAAAAAAAATTTATCTCTAAACTCTAAAATAAAAAAATAAATTTTAAAAATTAAAACCTAAATCTTAAATTCTAAACTCTAAAATAAAAAAAAAAAGAAAAAAAAAAGAAGAAGACGAAACTGTGTGAAAAAGAAAAGAAAAGAAGGGAAGAATTAAATGCTAAACCTTAAACCCTAAAATAAAAAAATAATAAAAAAAATTTAAAAATTAAAACCTAAACCCTAAAATAAAAAAATAAAAAAAAAATTATCTCTAAACTCTAAAATAAAAAAATTAATTTTAAAAATTAAACCTTAAATCCTAAACTCTAAACTCTAAAATAAAAAAATAAAAATTAAAAAAAAAGAAGAAGATGAAACTGTGTGAAAGAAAAAAAAAAAAAGAAAAAAAAGAAAGAAGGGGATGAAACTGTGCCGTTTCACGGCACAGCAAAACACAGTAGGGAGGGGGCACATGCAGTGACCCCGCTCACTTAATATTTATAACCTTTATTAGTTTTTTTGTAATTATTTTTCCTAACTATCACTATGAGGCTATTTCTCCTTAAATTATTCTACTTCTAATCATTAATCAAGGCATATAGTAATTATCTAGTAGTTCCCAAGTGTAATATGGTACGTGGTGTTCCAATCAATTATGTGTCGATAAAAGTGCGACAAGTGAATATCACATAGATAAGAAATTTACCTAGAAACAACACTTCATTATTCTGTGGGTTTTATGTCCTAGATGAGTTTTGATTTGCTGAAGTTGAAGATCATCGATGATCTAAATTGTTCATTTTATATAATCAAATTATTCATGCAAAAATTAAATTTGATCCAACATCGATTATTATACTATTAAATTATTTTTATCTATAAGACATAAATGTTTTTAGCGTAAATTACAAATATATCTCTTAAGGTTTTCTTATGATTTGAATTGTCCATAGTGGTTTTAGAAATTACAAATATCTCCTTATTAGAATTTTTTATTTAATAGAATTAATTGAAAAAATGAAATTTTAACTACTCTCATATGCAATAATAAAATTATTAAACCTGTTAATTGAAAATATTTTTACATCATTAAAATTGTTAATTAAGTTAATGATTTATTAATAAAATGAATAATTTATTATGCACTTCGAAATTTTAAGGGACGAGTTGTAATTTCTAAAACCACATGAACTAATTTGTATTTTATGTAAACCTCAGGAGGTGTATTTTTAAGTTACTCATATTTTTAATAATAAATTGTCTATTTATTATAATATATATGTAATCTGGTTATGTGATTACTTATTTTTGATCAACCCAATATTTTGTAACATGTCATATCAGATGAACAATTCAGATCACTAAAATAGGCATAACTTAGTCCCACTATACATCAATTTTGAAGTTGAGATCTTCAAATTTAACAAATCAAAACTCACCTAAGCTAGATCTGAACCGCAAAATAATATTTCCAGGTAAATTTTTTAAAAAATTTAGACAAATAATATTAAAGTGTTGATAACCTCACATAAGTATTCTAAAAATATTTAATAATTTTCATAAATATGAAACATTTGGATTAATGTCCCCTTTGACACAGACTTTCAAGCTAGCTTTGCCAATTTTTTTAAACCGGCTTTGAAAGGTCATAAAAAGTATTTTTCTTTTTATGCCTTTGAAATATGAAAATACAGACCAGTGTGTTGTTACTATTGAAAAGCCTACAAAAATTGTTGTTAAACAATTAATGCCTTAATTGTTATATATAGTCTTGAATTATTGGTAATTATGTTGATACTTGACAGAGCATGAATTAGTTAGTACACAACATCACCTAAAAAAGTTGCCTCTTTTAATGTTGGCATGCGTGTAAACTCTGCCATGCACCTACCGACATGCAATAAATATGAATGAAAAAAACATAAAAAATAAATAGATATAAGTGAAACTAATGATAAAATTTATTTGACATATAAAAAATGAAGTTTCAATAAAGTGACTGTTCACATATTCGAACCTCTATTATGAGGTTGACATATAAAAAATGAAGTTTTATTATGAGAAAAATTAGAGATCATGAAATTTTTTTTATAAAAATGATCATGAAAGATTTATGATCTTTGAATTACTTTTATTAGTGTGTGGAGTTTTATTCTAAGTGTAATTCAAAGGTCACAAAACTTTCATGATTATTTTTATGAAAGATTTTTCATGATACCTAACATTGTTGTTTCATTATTGCACCTACAGAGTGGAGTTTCCGTAAGGGAGCAAGGATAAATGTGAAAAAACAGTAATATAGAATATAGAAATCAAACACAAACTAAGATACAGTCCTCTCACAAAGGATTGCTTTTATATTTGATTTTTGTATTTCTAATACTACTGTTAAAAAAAAAAAAAAAAAAGGAATCCAGCAAGTCAATTTTGGCTTTCAATGCAGGGGTCGATAGAGTAATACAAACAGTACATCAAATGCAATAAAAGTAGTAAATTTGTTGGTTTAATACTTCCAAATATTTGCAAACCAAACCACACCTAACCATGGATGTTACAGCCCGTTTGCTGCGAACTAGATAGGATTGTTGTTCATACAAAAAAAAGAAAAAAAAAAAGCTATTTCCTTATAAAAAATAAAAAAAAACTAAAATTAAAAATTTGAACGTGTCGGGGTGCATTTTGTGAGACACAACCATGACAAATCTAAACTATCTATTTTGAATTCTAAGTGATTTTGAGTATTTTTATGGAGTCCTACTTTTTTTTCAAACGAGACTGAAAACTTAGACTGTTCATTCTAGGTCTTCTAGGCCAATTATAGAGTTTATTTTTATGACCTGAATATTATCTACCAAAAGAAATCAAATTCATGCTTTTATAAATGGATAGTAAAATATATTTTGCAAATATACGGTCAATTTTATAAAATATAATAAATTATATAATTCAAATTATTAAAAAAAAATCATAAATGAATAAAAAAACCGAATTAGTAAAGTAGGTCATGCCATAAATTACAACCGAAAGTGAACGGTCCAGTCTTTGGGATTTTTTCTGTACTTCGTAATTTTTTTTTTTTTAAGTCTCATTTGACAATATCACTTTTTAATTTAAAGGTCAAAAAATTATTAAAAAAAAATTAAAAAGTTAACAACTTTTATCAAAAAAATCAAAAATTTTATTTTCTCTCTATTTTTTACACATTTTTTCGTAAAAAACATACTAATTTTTTTTTTTACTTCAGATTTTAACTAAAAAATCAAAAAATTACTGAAAAAGTCTAATCCCAAAAATAAATTTTTACCTTAAGATTAGACATAAACCTCTCACATAAGAAAGAGTACACTTTTGTAAGACTTATACTCTTTATATAAAAGAGTTATGTTTAATTTTTTAATTAAATTTTGAGGAAATAACATTTTGTCCTTCAAATTTCACGCATTTTTTTAATTTGACCCATAGATTTTGATTAATATTAATTTTATATTTAAAGTTTCGAAACTTTAATCAATTTGGCTCATGTTGTCACATTCCGTTTACAATTGGACGAAATGTGCTAACGTGTTGCCAAAATTCATTTGGAATTTCATTTTACCCCCTAAACTATACCTTAAAAATCAATTTATCCCCTTACTATAAAAATATTAAATTTAAATATTTAACACATTTTTTTTTTATCTCAATAATAAAAAAAATAAAATTTAAATAATACATACTATGCAAAAAAATAAAAAATTCTCATTTAAAATTATCTTGAGACTATGAAGCATAGGTATTTCGACAAACATGTCGTATCTGTACTAGACACATAACGAATTTTGAAATTTTTTTCCTACTTAATTGTGAAATTACTATTAGTCGATCAACTCTATTAAAATTAATTTGAGTAATAAACTAGTTACAATTAAGTGCGCACACACATATAGAGTAGTAAAGAAATTTTCGGTTCAATAAATTTCTCCAAGATCACCTCAAGATAATTTGAGACCTGTGAAGCACAATACGGGTATGAGTACTTGTATTAGTATGATATAGGTACGTCAGCAAGGGAAAATGGTTTGGGATGTCCTAAAAAAGTGCACTTTTTGACTTATTGGTAGGTTTGGGTTGGGTTTGGGTTGGGTTTGATGTGATGCGTTAGAGAGGTGATGTAATTTAAATAAGATGATGTGACTTAAATAAGATAGTGACTTTTTGACTTTTTGGCTTATTTAGTACATGCCAAACTAGCCCTAAATAAATAAATAGGGTACGGATATGGCTTAATGCGTTTGCAAAAAAATATTTATTTTTAATTTAGAATAATAAAAAAATTGATTAAATAGTTAATTTGTTAAATCCAATATACAACATTTAATGCTAAAAGTACAAGTATAATTGACATTTATATTGACATTTAATGATATTTAATTTTGGTTTTTTTTTATTATAAAAAAAAAGATAAACCAAAATTAAATATCATTATATTAAATAATTTACAAGCCATAGTTTAATTTTAAAACCATACTAAGCACAAAACTAAAAATGAAAAAGAAGTCTGGTAAAAAGAATTTTATCTTTGTAGTAAAAGAAAATATTGTTTCGACTGAGATATGATATGACTTGGGTATATACTAGATATATTTAGGTACGCCAAAAATTAAGATGGAAAAATTTGAGTACGTATTTTGTGCGCCCGATACGTATGTAGAAATATCATATGTTGGTAAGTACCTGATACATGTACAATATGTTTGTCGAATTATCTATACTTCATAGTTTCAAGGTAATTCTAAATAAGGATTTTTGTATTTTTTTATTATTTTTTTACAAAGTATATATTAATTAAAAATTAATTTTTTTCATTAGTGAGATAACAAATTGTTTATTAAATATTTAAATTAATTTTTTTTAATATTTGGAGGGCAAATTAATTTTTAAAATATAGTTTAGAGAGTAAAATGAAATTTTAAATGAATTTTGGTGCTATATTAACATATTTTGTCAATTTATAGAAGGAATGTGATGGTATGAATAAAATTGATTAAAATTTTAAAAATTTAAATATATAATTAATAATAATCAAAGTTTAAAGATCAAATTAAAAAATAAGTAAAAATTTAAGGGATAAAATAATATTTCCTCTTAAATTTTGTACGCTTCAATTATTCTATTTTTGTGGATCATGGATTAAGCTTTTGAGAGAGAGAGAGAGAGAGAGAGAGAGACGCTTATTTGAGGGGTAAGGGGATCCAATCCAGAGGCAGCAGAGGCAAAACTGACACCAGTCATGAGCTGTTCCATGGTAAGCGTTGAATCCAAATACGGAGGCACATTCTCTTTTATTCCTACATACGAAGCTGTTCCAAACACAAACACATACCCACAAAAACCACATTACTCTTGCGCTTTCGAGTATTTTGAAAAGCTGATTAAAAATTAATTTTTTATTTTTTTTATGAGAAAAAAGATAAATTAAAAATTAAAAAGTAACTTTTAATTAACTTTTTAAAATACGCATCAATCACCTATGCACATTTTCTCTCACACTACTACATTAATTCACATCAAGAAGAATACACATGAGAAAATGGTTAAAATCCACAATTAACTTTTCACAATTTAATCTACGATGATATATATAACAGGTTATATGTCAATTTTTAATTTATCATATACTTAATTATGTAGGGCCTAACTTTCTTATTATATCATTACAAATAAATTTAAAAATTCAAATAGTGAATTTCTAGCATATACATAAATAATTTTTCACCATATATTTCAAATGAAAACGGGGCCCCCTATCTAATTGTATAGATCTCATTTACATTGAGTATATATGTTGCTGTTTATTATAAGTTTATTATAAGTTAAAATGGGAAAATCAGAAAAGAGAGAAATTAAAATCATTTCTCTCAATTTTTATATAATCAACTTATTTCCTTTCATTTAAGTTATATTTTTGTCTAATAAATTTCAACAAACAATACGATATAAACTCTCAAAATAAAGAAAACGTTATAACTTGCTCATGTAAAGATTGTTTGGTGCAATTTATTATAAGTTAAAAAATGATAATAAAAAATTTTCGTATAATTATATGTTTTTACAGTTCATTTAAATCATTTCTACCTAATAAGCTTACCAATACAATCGGTCACTAGGCGGCCATTAGTAAACCTTCCGGTGGCAATGTGGTTGGGAAAGTCCTTCCCGTAAGGCGGAAAGTTACTTTTAAACACCGTCTCAATGTAGTTGTTGTTTCCAGGGTCGACCGTCGAGTCTCCGAACACGAACACTGCAGAGATTGAGTGGTTCGAAGCCTTTTGTTCTGTTAGTGTTTGAGCTCTTGAAAGTTTTGACATGAAGAGAGAAACAGAGACAATGAAAAGTAGTGTAAGTTGTAGAAGATGTTTATGTTGTGGTTTCATATTTGGTGAAACTCTGAAATGTGATTACAGATAAAGAAATGTAATGATATGAAGAAAAACTTCAACTCTCTGTGTATGGCTAGCTCTTGGATGAGATGAGAATTGAGATGATTATATATAGTACAATAATTCTACTTACTCGAAAATTTTATTTAGAATTCTATCCAAAAAAGTGAACGTAATAATCACATAAAATTGCACGTTTAAGTAGTGTTTGATTTATTAGAAGGAAGTGAAATTGAATGATTATTCCATCAAAATAATTTCATGTTTGGTTAGATTTGGGAACAGATTTTTTAGTAACTTTTTGACTTTTTAGTTAAAATATGATATAAAAAAAAACTAATATGTTTCGGATGACTTTTTGATTTTTTACAAAAAAATGTGCAAAAAATAGAAAGAATTTTTTTTTTTTTACTTTTTGATATAGGTTGTTGGCTTTTTGATTTTTTTAGTAACTTTTTGATTTTTTGGCTAAAAAAGTCACTTGCCAAACGAGGCCTAAATAAATAAGGAAAATGCTACCTTACCACAAAAATGTGTAAATTTATTACAAAATTTTGTAAAATTAATCACAAAATATGTAATATCGTCACAAATGGGCGTAACAAAAATCAAACTATAAACTTTTGTAACATCAACTATAAAATTTTAGATATTCTGTTATGTCAATTTATGATGAAATTATCTATTTTGTAATAAAGTTACACCATTTTTTGGTAAGGTGGTGCACATCATAGGATTTTTCAAAAAATAATGTTAAATATATTACAAATGAAATAATCTCCCGGCATTTTAAATGAATGGTCATTCTATAGGAAAACTTAAAGAATCATTCCATTACATTGACATTCCAATAAACAAAATAGAGCATTAAAGTCCTATTTGGTATAATTTTATGAAATGTTTATAATTTTTTTTAATACAAATTACACAAGTGGTTCTTATAATTTAGATTTTGTATTAATTTGATTTTGGTAGTTCCAGTTGAATTAATTTTACCTTTAATTTTTTTTATATATATATATATATTTATTTATATATTATATCAAAATGGACACAATTAGAATAGTGGGAACCTATAATAGACAATTGTATGGAGTGCCTGTGTAATTTTCCCTATAATTTGAGAATTGATGTGCTTTTTTGTGCTGTTTTTGCGCATAATTTATGTGGCTTAAATAATTATTTATTATTTACAAATTTAGAGATAAATATTTTTATTTTTTGTTTTCTATTTATTAATTTGCCACTTGTAAAAGATTACATGAAAGAGGATATTAAAATTAGTGTAATGTAAACTGTATTATTCTAAATAAATCAGTTAACATAATTCAATTTTAGGTAAAGTTCTTGGTCAGTTGCTCATTGAAAAGTCATCACAAACAAAATTGTAAAGGGATTGATAGTGAAATGATTAAGTAAAATTGTGTTTATTTTGATGATAGTTATTAGTGTAGAAATTGTTAAATTATTTTTATATAAAATAATAAAATAAATAAAAAAATTAAACATTAATGTTTAAAAAAAATTCTCAATATGTAAAAAATAAAAATAATATTTTTTTTTTAATCCCCTCACTATTTTTCTAATACCACATCTACCTACTCCATCCCAATCCCCCTTCCAACCTTCATCTTAATCCCTTCCTCCATCATAATCCCTTCTCCAACTCTACAAACAAACATAACACTAAATAATCACATCTTCGTCCTAATCCCCTCCCATCCATTACACCCTAAAACACACGGCCCCAAAAGGTGTCATTTCTAATTAATGTCTTCAAATGCTGAAATGTTCAGACTAATGTCTTTTTCATTGGCAACTAATTAATTATGTTCCGACTGCACATATTATTTTTATTTTTATGTAATAAGAGAAACCTGTGAGATAAATAATCAAATAAGTTCTATTATATGTGAGATTCACTATTAAGCAAAGATTAACCTATTATTTATCGTTACCAACTCTTGTTCATTTATTGTCACTTACAAATTAAGCAGAGATTAACCTAAGAATGAAATGAGAACACATTTAAGAGCATTGTATATTTTGATAGCATGGTAAATTACTAACCAACATTTCATTGAAGGGTTTAAATTATTAAATAAATTAACTTCTTTATTAGGTGGCGGGCACCGACACTCCTCAAACACATGTCCAACACTCTTTTTCAATGTCCATAATTAAAAATATATATGAGATCAACATTTCTTTTGAATTTTCTAATTAATGATTTTCAAAATTTGAGAATTTGACATAAATAGTTTATACCTTAAAAAAATGTATAATTATTAAGAATAATCCTATAGAAGTTTCATGTAAAATCAAATGAAAATAAAAAAGATACGCATAAATGTATTAGCATATCAATTAGGAGGATATGGGAAACGTTACAATTATATATATTTGTTCTAGTTTGTTTAATTTTTAACTATTATGATCCAACAGTCTGAAAATTCATGTAAGAGAATTAGATACAAGATTTACTTAGAATAAAGTAATTATTTAATTTTGTATATATTATAAACATCTATAAACTATAGAATATAATATATTCCTAGATAATATAATTTCAAGATATAATTATTTGTGATTTATCTAAACTGTGTCCATGTCTTACATTTTTAGAATTCGCCGTTAATGTAATAATGTGATGCCGCATCTATGTCCCATGTCCAAGTCTATATTTCATAGCTTATCAAAATACACACTACCCCAAATAGAAAAGCAGAGGTGAGGTGTTCAAACCCTTCAAAAGTCTAAGTACGCCTACACAAAAAATAAATAAATAAAATAAAACAAAGTTAGATAATTTTCTTGACAGATTGCTCAAATCAGATCTATCACATTTGCTTTTTAATTTTTTTTTTTTTTAAATTTCTAGCTTTGGCAAAGGGAGGTAGAAAGCTAAGGCAACAGTTGAACTAAGAAAGCCACGGGTAGAATCACCCTTTTCTTTATCTTATTTTCAATAAGTATAATCACTTGATATATGATCACACATAAAATGTTTGATTCATGATCATATGTAAACATAAAATTGCCAAAAATGAAATACATTGCATGTGCAAAAAAAAAATATTATATGCTCATTATACATTTTAACATGTCGATATCAAACCACATTTATGCTTAGTTGCTATAGCGATATGGGCTTCGACCCGATCCATTTATTGCCATTGAATTCGGGAAATCATAGTCGTGGTGGTTGTTCCTTCCTCTTAATTGTTGGCTTTGACTTCAGGGGTCGACACCCTCCTTGTTGGTGTCGACACTACCTTCTATTTGTTGCCCTTTTTCTACTCCAGGTGTCGACACCAGTGTTGGAAGGGTTGACACCATCATGCTGCTGGGTTCTGGAAATGGGTACTGAAATTTAGTGTCGACACCAGCCTTGGAGATGTCGACACTTGTTTTTTGTTGTTGGCCTGAAGGGTCGACACCAGTCTGGGAAGGGTTGACCCTTGTATGCAGCAGAATCTAAGTTTGCTTGCTGAAATTTAGTGTCGACACCTTGCATACTGTCAAATATAAGTGTTCTAGCTTTTCTTCATAAGGGTCGACACCACTGTTGCAGGGGTCGACCCTTGTGACTATTTTTCTAGATTTTGTTCAGTTGGGCCCTATTTTTTGGGGAATTTTTAATTTGTTTCTTTCATTTAACCTTGGAGTTACTATGCTAGTAATACTTAGTCACTATAAATGGACCTAAAGTCCCTTTTTCTCATGAGTTGTCTTCTCTTTTCCCTCTTTCACCCGTAACTTTCTCTCTTTCTCTCAACGTTTACTTTTTCTCACTCAAATCCTTAGGTTTACTCACCTAGAGGTATCTTCTCACATTGATCCTTTGAGATAAAGTGTAGATCGTGGCAAGAGCTTTCTTTTGATCTGAATATCTTGCGATATCGTTGGCGTGGGAAATTCTCCGGGCTCTTCCCTTCCACCTTTTGAGCTTGAGGTGGGGACTTTCTACACCTTCCTATGATTCTTAACTTAATTATTTGTTGATTGTGTAAATAAATGTTGGGATTTGAAAGATTTTAGACAAACTTAGAGTTTTGGTTTAAAATCAAAAGAGAGATTTTCAAATGAAGGTGTTGAAAATGGTTAAGGATATAGATATGAGGTTGTGTTGTGTTAAACTTGTTGATTTTGATACATGGGTTGGATTTGGGAGAAAATAGGGCTTTGCTCTAAAATGTTTCAAATGATTATTTTGTATAAATAATAGAATTAGTATGAAAAGTATGAATTTGGATAAATATGTATGTAAATGGTGGAGTTGTATAATTTCCATCTCTCAGCTATGGAAATATGGATAGTTTATCTATTTTAGAGATTGTATATCTATTTTTGCCTATCGGTGAAGGATGCTATGATTGTTGTAGAAATTGCATGAGGATTAGGTGAATTGAAACTAATCTCTTGTCGATTGTCATTGAATATGACGGTGTTTTAATACATAGTATATGTATGATGATTGGGAGGAGAAATGGGATGTACTCCATGTTTGGGAGAAGAAAGAGGATGGACTCTATTGAATTAAGTTGGCCTGTGTGTTCAGGTTGAAAGTCTCGAAAACCACGCGTATATACATAGGTGTCGATTCCCGTGGATGAAATTTCTGTAAAATGGAAAATTGAAGTGTTTATGTGATGATTGAATTGGGTAGATAGCCACTGGGTTGTAACCTCAGTAGAGTTGTCTAGGTAACAATGGATTTAACTCATGGATTGAGATGAAATGAATTGTCATGAAATAAAGTAAGACTAAAATGGCTTTGGATATAAGACTTAGAATATTATGATCATGTAACAATACAAATGATTTTGTCATAGGCATTGTATATGAACTTCATACTCATACCTTTGTTAAGATTCATATATTGTGTTAGATTGTTTCTACTGGGCTTGGGCTCACCCTACTTGGGAAAAACCATTTTCAAGTGTTGCTGTTATGCCTCTGCCAAGGACTTAAGCTTGGGAGGACTGTGGAGCTGAAGGCTCAAATTTTGCTTACTTTGTATTTGTGGAGAAGTGGTTTGGAAATACTCTTCTGATCCTAGGGGACGCTCGGGATCCTCAGCTAATCATCTGAAAAGGAATAAACACTCCGGTCAG